ATCCAATTCAATTCATATTGTATTTGTATGGCACCATCTCATATAAAAGTTGTTCCAAGTCTATCATTTACATTTGTCTTTTTTCTGTAGACAAACATCACATTTTTGCAACATGTTTCGCTCACTTGCTGTACGTTGACCATAACATTTTCGATGTTATGCTAGCAATTAATTGGAATTAGTTCATTGGAATTATCTCACTGAACACTGGCTATCTGTCTCTAACCTTCACACAGCCGGGCTAAGGACGTGGAACCAGATTTTGTATTAAATTTGTTACATTTCTGTATGCTACCATCACTCAATTACTCATCTATTGATTTTGGGCATTGTGCAACTCCTTCCCAGGAGTATGCACATACTGTACATTTTAACAGTGTTTTTTTCAGACATTTTGCTTTCTTGTGCTATGATTCATTCATTATTGAGTAGAACGCTTTTAGTAGTATAAATCCAAATTTTCTTACTGTGCAAGGTTGAGCATACCTTTGTGCATTTTCAATTGCTAAAACACTGTCATCACCAGCCTGCACTGAAACAGATAAAAGCCTAAAATGAGATTAAGGTTTCGTCAGAATGAGCAGAGAATACAGATTAGACATAATCCACTCTGTATTACACCGGTTTTAACAAGGGCTGCTTCTGTCTTGTATAAAAAAACAGATTCCAGTAAAAGTCAGGTAATTTAAATGAAATGTGCAGATGCCTCAGCCATGTATTGTTACTATTTAACATCCCAGCAAAAACACACAGCATGTAAAATAGCTCCTTCTCTGCTAAGTTAGTATTGAAACTGGAATTATTCTAAAGCTCAAGACAGAACTTGATAGTCCAGTTGGGGCTATGATGATTGATCATAATAGTGCCATAATAGTGTTTGCAAGTAACCATTATCAATGATGTGCCTAACAATGCAGCAATGCATTGGACACAATGGAGCAGCCGCCTCTCCTGCAGTCCACGGTCAAATTTACAATCATTTTGCATGGAGATGAGAAATCTGCTTTAGCATGTAAGACAACTCATCACAGTGATCAGATGACTTTGGTGTCAATAAATGATGGTGTTAAAGCACACTTGTGTTGATTGAAAAGCAAAAGCCTCAGTGGGAGGGTGCGGCAGTATGATGCAGCATCATTAAGGCCTGGACGTAGAGGAGGTGGAGTTGGAAGGAGTCAGGACTGGCGATCAGAGGTGGGAAGTGCCGACTGCAAATCTCCTGGGACTAAGGAGCATCAAAAACAGGAGATTATTAAAAATAATAAGGCCCACCTCTGCCTTTCTCTAATGATGTGTGCGCAAACACACTCATATTAGGGCTCTGGTAGTGGAAATACTTCAGCTGACGGGGGACCTCAACTCGTCCACGTTGTTTACTGTGTAGGCTAAGAGTATTGAAAATGAGGGGAGAATTATTTATTCTGGTGTGGGCGGGCATTATTTCAGGAGGACTAGCAGGGGGACAGTAAGATCAGAAACCTCTAGAGAGTCAATTACCCTTAGTTCATCTATATAGATAGTGTACATTGTATAGCCTATAGTTATAATGGATCTGAGATAGTCCACTTAAATCCATTAGAGATTATTCATGAATCAAATGTATTACCCAAACATCAATAGGGCTATTTCTGCTATTGATTAAATTGCTAAATTAAAATGAAATTCTATTGAATTAAAAATACCATTAAACATATTACACTGGATATGAATAAGACCAAGCCAGAGGAAAGTTTGTATAGCTTATGTAATCATCCTAAATCTGATGACTTAGCAGTCAACCTGATCAAGCTACTCCACCAGACTTTATTTTCACTCCAATCCACTTTGGTGCCCTAACACAAATCTTCATTCCAGTAAGTAGGGCCCATAAACAAAGGTAAACACAATTACCCCCCCCCCAAAGTTACAGTGGTGCAAAGGGGAAATTAATCTGCGACTAGTGTTAAAACATTGCACTTCTGCAAGAACCAGCGAAATAAAAGAGAACTGGCTTGAAGAATGGCTGTAAAAATCCTTGTTACTCTGATTAATCCATTTCAGGAAGGATGTTTTAATAGATTTAGAGGAGGAGTAAAAGCGACTGAGCCGGTGCTTGAGATAAATCAGTTTGTAGTGAAGTAAGTGACTGGTTCAGGATCAGTGGTCTCCGTTGTTTCTCAAAAATGAGAGCACTGGTGCCCTCTAGTATTCAAAACAGTGGCACACAGTAAATGTGCATGTAAAGCAATTTCAGAAACTGCTGTCAGTTGATTTTATAATGACAGAGAAAGGTGAGGAGGTGAAATTAGAATACAAAACCTGAATATCAGGATCAGATTTCAGGTTTGCCTTGAATACCTTTAAAACACCTTCATAGGTAAAAAAAAAACATGTTTTCACACAATCCAAAACTGATATCAAACTGAGAATTTATTACACTTGTGAGCGCATGTAGAAAATAAAGTCACCGTCTGGATTTGGACAGCACATGTTTGCATATAAGCAGTTTGTGGTGACCTACCTGTGGTGGGTCCCTGAGGTTGGAGCAGCCATTTTGTTTCACTTCATTCATTCAGCATAACATTGTGTTCCTTAGCCAAATACTGTTTGGAAGGAGAGGTTAATTGGTTTTCTTTCTCCCTAACCAATCAGTGGCGAGGGATGTATAAGTCTAGCTGATGTAATCACCAGTGTGTTTGCTAGGAACAGTCAAAGTTAGCATAACTTTTTCAGAACAGCAGCCACTGTGGCCACAAGCGGCTAGCAATCACACAAGTAGAGAACAGTCATAAAGTTAGCAAACTGACTCAATAATATCTGTTTTACTGAGCCAAAAGTCAGCTAACAATAGCTAACACTAGCCACCAAAAGCATGTTGCAGCAGATCCCCTGGGGTGAACAATTGGGTTTATTGAGTATGAAATCAACTCTTGATTTCTAAGACTGAGATTGGGTTCTTTCTTTTTTCAATAGTCTAGTCTCACTTTAATATCTAGAAGTGCTAAATCACTTGCTCTATCTAGGCTATATTACATAGGCCTACGAGTTATTTCTGTAAACTAACTTACAACAACTTGTACAGCTGTTGGTCACCATTATTGTTGTTGTTTTGTTTTCTTGTAACTTTTTGCTGAATTACAGGCACTGTAGCCACAAGTGACAATTACAGGATAATGGTAAAATGTAGTGGAACAGTAGCACAAAAAGAAAAGTCAGCACACTGACCCAGCTAGCTAGCCACCTTAAGCTACTTACGGGACCAAGTGAGGCCATAGCAGAGAAAGAGAACAATATAGTTTATCTGGCAAAAGACACACAGTCACACTTTAATGAGCACAAAACTAGAGCTATTTAAAGTGTTTAACAAAATCTGTTCACCAGGATTAGATAAGATGAAATGCAATTTTATAATAGCCTATCTGTTAAATTACTGTTCTTGAACATCTACTACTCCAAATTTATCTTTAATCAATTTAATTTCAATTCCCTTTTCCCCTCAAGATTTATATTTCTTTATCTCAATTTAATAGTTAACTTGTTTTTATTCCTGAGGCACTTTGTTAACCCACAAGGGTAAGATCTTTAAAAATAAAGGTTTGTGTTCAATGAAGGTGTGTGAATGTTCTCCCCGTGTCTGCGTGGGTTCTCTCCAGGTGCTCCGGCTTCCTCCCACTGTCCAAAGACATGTGGTCTAGGTTAATTGGTGACCCTAAATTGTCCTTAGGTGTGAGTGTTAGCGTGAGTGGTTGTTTGTCTATTTGTGGCCCTGCGATGGACTGGCGACCTGTCCTGGGTCTACCACGCCTTTCGCCCAATGTCAGCTGGGATTGGCTCCAGCCCCCCGCGACCCTGTACGCAGGATAAGCGGTTGACGATGGATGGATGGTTTGTGTTCATTGTGACTTGCCAGTTGGTCTGAATAATTACCTCATAAGACCAATTCTAGTGTTTTACAGTCATTATGAGATGATGTTGTTGCTCAGTTCTACTAAAAAGATAGGACAAAAGCCTTGTGTTTTGTACCATTCATCTTAGTGATGTAAAAGGAAAGTCCTTCTTTCATAGTGGGCTCCTGGCAAATCTTTGCTCCAGCACTGACAATGTTGAAACAAATTGTTTCACCCGCAGTTCTTGATAGAGAGTTTCCATCAAGTGGCTCAACAGCAAAGAGAATAGGAACTGTTTCTATCAGGAGCAGCAGAGCCAAGGGCTTTTCTAGGAGAGTCGGTGTGGTGAAGAGTCTTTTGTGTGAGTGATGAGTCTGCCTGGGGACAAAGGGCCAATGTTCTCAGGCTCTGGGATTGGCTCTAATGTGCTAAGGCGCTCTGAAGCCAGAATCAAGCCCTAAAGCTCTTTCCTGCTCATGTATTGTCTTTATCAGTGGCCCTCCATGCAGTTGTGGAGGGTAAGGACCATTTTGTCTGGCCTTTGATGGCACCTAAATCACTAATATCATCTGCTGGAGTCAGCATGGTGATATGAGGTTGGTTCAAATTTTTGTTCAGTGTAAAACCAATGTAAAAAGGGAAAATTCCTGCAACATTGTATTTGACATTGTAAACTAAAAAATATATATTTTAATTGAATTGTATGTGTATACAATACATAGAGTATAAATTATATAAATTCAAATTTATGATAATGATATTTTAATGATATTGTTAGTTATGTTATTTTCTGTGTCATACACATAAAAGCGCTGAACACACATGAACTTAAGACACTAAAAATACTGTTGCACTGGGGAAATATTTGTGCCACTTAAAAAAAAAGAGTACTAACTTAAGAGTACTAACCATAACCCTGCACATGTTGTTTGAATGTGACAAATACAATTTCTAAGTATTTAAATCTTACTGTTTTTCCAAAACACAACTGAAATTAAGGACATGTTACACTTATTTTCAACATTCAAATAAAGAATAGGCTAAACAGCATACTCGATGCAATAACAGTCGCCATGCACTAGGGGGCAGTATTGTGTCTTTGTAGCTGCTGACTCTGCACTAGAAGAAATTTTAACCAAACCCGGAAGCTCCTGAATCGGTCGTGATTGCTATTCATTCAGGCTGCTACGATTTAAATCAGTTGCTGTTAAGATATCCGTTCACATCGGGCGCCTGATCTATTTGCTTGTAGATAGATAAAAGGAGTGCAAGCATGGCTGGTCGGCTACCGGCTTGTGTTGTTGACTGTGGTACGGGGTAAGTAACAAAAACAGAATGCTAGTTAGCGTTAGCCTGGTTACCATTGCCCACATAAGAGGCTGTCAAACTTCCAGCTAACGCCCCGTCTAGGCTGAATGGTGCTAACGTTACTTAGCCGCATTTGTTTACTTGTTTATTCTTATGTTGAGTGTATAACCAGAGTAAGTTCTAGAAATTAGCACACCAAAGTGCCAGACTATTTTACTGTGTATGCTTTTATTGTGAATAATACTTTATCATTGGAATTAGCCGCTGCTAGCTACTGATGCTAACGTTACTTCCTGGACATTCCTCATAGCAGAAAGCATATCATCCAGATTATTTTGGCTGTTTCTCCGTTAAAGTACCTGTTTACCTGTTTGTAGTTTCCAGCAAAACACTTTACCAAAATGGAGCAACTGTAACTAAACCTTTTAATTTTGTTCCTCTTTTAGGTATACAAAGCTTGGTTATGCAGGAAATACAGAACCACAGTTCATCATACCATCATGTAAGTAAATAAACACGTCTCAAAACAAATTAGGTTTAATCACATTATGCTCATTTTAAGTAGAATTTTTCATTTCAGTTTAAGTATATAACTGTGTTATACAAATAACATTTATAAATATATAATGCAATTGTTCAACGGTTACCATACAGTACCATTTTGCATTGTCAACCCTATTATAGTTTGTAAGTGTTTGTAATTAAGTAACTATTAAATGAGGAATCTAATTTTAACAATTTGCCACAAGATGACAGTTTCAGATCAACTTCCTTTTACCACACAGTCCAGGGACACAGTCAGCAGCTAGACAACGTACCACAAGATTGTACATTCTTAGGGACATGTTGTCTCATGAAAAACAGCTGAATGTGAAGCAAAACTTAACCAAAAGTCAAAGGTCTCTATGTGCACAGTTGCGTTCAGTTACACTACCATTAGCTATAGATAAAGGCAAGTTTAAAAGTTTCCCTGAAGAGAAAAACTTTGTTTTGTTATGCACATTATATAATTTACTGCACTTTTTGGTAAGATGTCCTGCATTTCTGAAGTTCCGCTGGTTGGATGATTATTAAACACGTTGATGTGTATTGTGGGGCTGACTGTAAATACTCAATTGGACACCATATACTGTTAATTAATCCAGAGCTGAAAAAAGCCCCCACTATTTATTCCTGTTGGACAAAGAATTGCTATAAAGTACAGGATTTAGGAAATTACCGAGCATAAAAAAATAACCCATACATGCGACATCTTCTAAATATTTCGTAGTTTCTTTAAGTTTATATTCTGTCAGTGGTAGGTCTTTTTGTTGATAAATAAAAATTGTCTAGCCCAAAATAAAAACTCATCTTTCTTTAACCTTTCTGAGTCTACATCCAGTGAGCATCTGATAGATAGATAGGTAGGTAGGTACTGAATTCATCCCCAAAGAGAAATTGCAGTGTTACAATTTGCATCGGTTTACAAAAATAAAATGCACAAACAGTTACAGTAACAAAACACGCACAACTTACACAAAAAATGTGAGGTGTGTGGCAAACAAGCATTAGGTAGATTAACAAATAAAAAATTAAATATGATTAACAAATGTGCTGTATATATTCATTCAACTACTAGATAGTCATAGATTTTAATTGCAGTGGGCAGTGGGAATGACTTCCTGTAGCGTCTCTTATCACTGCGCAGCTGAAGGAGTCTCGGACTGAATTAAACATCATCACATTTTCTGATCACGTCTAGGTATTGCAATCAAAGAATCGGCCAAGGTCGGAGACCAGGCCCAGCGCAGGATGATGAGGGGTGTTGATGACCTGGACTTCTTCATCGGGGATGAAGCCATCGAAAAACCCTCATATGCAACAAAGGTAGGCAGGAAAGCGGAAGGGAGTCAGGTCGGAGGCTCTTTTTAGGCTTCAACAAGAGACTGACCTTTGCACTGTGTTCCCTCTTTTGTTTCCAGTGGCCCATCCGTCACGGGATAGTGGAAGACTGGGACCTGATGGAGAGATTTATGGAGCAGATCATCTTCAAGTATCTGCGGGCAGAACCTGAAGACCATTACTTTCTTTTGGTAAGAATAGAGTTAAAAGCCTCAGGCGAGGATCAGGCAGTGATTCTTATTTCTTTGTCTTGTCTTTTTTTTTACTAAATTTACACACAAAAACTGAAATTGCGGCTTGAGGGGGAAAAAGAATGTAAGCCAAGACCACACCTTGTACTGCCAAGAAATATCTACTTTCAAGAGATTTCAAAATAGGAAAGCAGGTCAATAATGAGTGTATCCTGTAGCATGTGTTGACCTTTACTAGAAATTAAAGTTGAAAAGTGGTTTACAGTTGTTCTCATCAGTTCTCCACCCCCCCAGACAGAACCTCCTCTCAACACACCGGAAAACAGAGAGTATACAGCAGAGATCATGTTTGAGTCATTCAATGTCCCAGGTCTCTATATCGCTGTTCAGGTAAGTTTCCAAAACATCCCAGCACCTGAAATTAACACTGTGCAAATGCAAAACGAAGTGGCTAAAATTGTGAATAAACAAACTACTATAGCTGGCCTTAAACTACAATTTCACAGCACTCTCAACTAGTTAAAACATTTGAAGCCAGACGTGTAGGCTGTAGATAAAATTAGATTTCGCTCTTTCTCTCAGAATGTAATGTGTTTAAAAGGTTTTATGAGGAAATGCACATTTTCACTTCTCCTTTTTTAAGTTTCAGCCGCAGTTGCTTGGCCATGATGATCTCACCTTGCTCTTTACGATAGCATTATTTTTAAATTAAAACTATGACTTCCTGCATCAGGCTGTCCTGGCGCTGGCTGCCTCCTGGACATCCAGACAGGTGGGAGAACGGACGCTGACAGGGACTGTGATCGACAGTGGCGATGGAGTCACACACGTCATCCCAGTGGTAAGTGTCTCTCTATCAGCATGATGTTTTTTCTCTATTCCTCGTTCTCGACCCCCGAACTCATGCAAGTTTGTATTCTAGGCTGAAGGCTACGTCATCGGTAGCTGCATTAAGCACATCCCCATCGCCGGTCGAGACATCACATACTTCACCCAACAGCTGCTGAGGGAACGAGAGGTGGGGATACCTCCTGAACAGTCCCTGGAGACGGCTAAAGCTGTCAAGGTCAGTGTTCTTGAAATCTTTTAGAAACATTAAAAGCTAGTTTATAGCAAAGTGACAAGACTTAAAGAACATCATATTTTGCAAACTCTTCAATTGATACTCCACCCAATATCTTGCTCCTGTACAAAGAAGTTAACCTGGTGCAGCTTTGTATGTGATACTGTTGAGGTATCCTCAACACAGGATCAAATATCAAAAAGAGGTTGTGTCAGTTTAAGGATATTATGTTCTCACATTTTCAGTCATGCTCTGATTCTGTATTGTAACCTGCACACAGAAGGTCCCATAAAAGGAAGCGCGACACCTTCAACAGATGGTACTGGTTATGTTAGCTATGCCTGTCATGCATTGCTCAGCCTGGCCACAAGAGGTCAGTGCAGCTACAGAAGCATAGCACTCACTTCAAGTTTTAAACAAAAACATGTTCACCTCCAGCGAACATTCTGCCTTTAAAGGGTCAGAACATATTTAACCAAAAGTTTTATATTACATTTGGTTTTGGTCTCCATTCACATTGTTGTCAACAGTGCTTCATAAATACTAGTGCTACGTCTTATTGCATTTCCACAATGTGGTAACAGAAACTTCATCTATATACATATATCTACTTATAGTCACATTCTCTAGTATTATACTGTCCACTAGGCCATGCCAGGATTTATGTGTGTGTATGAACATCTGTGAAATTGTTATGATACTGCCCCAGGTGGTAGATGTTTTTTTTTGTGTGTGTGTGTGTGTACTCCTCTGTTTCTTTCTTCCTTTAATAAATACCAAAAGACAACAGTTTGTTGTAACTTATTAATTTGTTCTGCACCGGGAAAACACAACATTTTTTATTGTATCCTCATAAAGTTGTACTTTTATTGTTTTGTTTTTTTAGGAACGGTTTAGCTACGTCTGCCCCGACCTTGTGAAGGAGTTTAACAAGTACGACACAGATGGCTCCAAGTGGATCAAACAGTACACGGGCATCAACGCCATCTCAAAGAAGGAGTTCACCATCGACGTCGGCTACGAGCGCTTCCTGGGGCCTGAGATCTTCTTCCACCCTGAGGTATAATACATCGTTTTTAAGGGGGGTTCACACCGACCTTGTTCAGGGAGGACGGAAACCTCCTGTTGAGCAGAAGGGCTCACGCTCACCTGATCTTCAGTATGAATATATAGAACAGAAAAATTACTGTGTATATTATTATAATATGTGTAGCTAATATTTCTTGATAAAAGGTCGGCACCTTTTGATATATTGAACTTTTTTATGTGTGTAGTATGTAGGAATCTATATGCATTAATTAATTCAAGGAGATCCATATGGTTTCTGTAAACACAAGCTGCTTTTATGATAGACCTTTACTAGTCTTTTGCATGGGGGCCAACGTTTTTTTGTGTGTTTGCAATTGTGGCCTACGTACTTCACTGGTACACTTCGTATGACAGAACAAGTCATGAAGTGATCTGTGATAAGACAGTCTGATGCAGAGCTTCTTCCTCTAAATGCCTGCATTATTAAATTATTTATGCTAGTCTTACGAGACATTCGTATGTGTGACCCTCTAAAGTCTGCTGATATGCACTCAGACCAACACCAACATGAACCTGTATGTGCTCCATGATGTAAAATAGCCTATCCAGGTAGAAATTTGGACAGATTTATTGTTTTCTTACCTGCTGACTGTATGACCAATAATCTAATGACATTTCCACCTCGTGGCTTTTGTGTACAATTTCTGGACTTTTTGAGTTTTTGCAAACCGGACCATTTGGACATGTTAAACAATTTATTATCCTAGCATTGGTTCGAATTAGGAACCGGACCTTTAGGTGTGAACCCTCCCTGGATATGTTCTGTTCATGCTGCTGCTGCTGCTGCTAGATGATGCAGTGTAACGTTTCAGCTCCCTGCTTCAGTAAATGAGGAACAGTGTAGCTTTGGACACCACCACTAGCCTCAGTTTGTCTGGATTTAAATGGCAGTTGTGCAGCAACAGCCTGCAGAGTTGTTAAGAAAATTGTCATATCGAGTGAAAAATTCCTTACCTTTTAAAATCAATTGTGTCTTGAATTGTGCAATTTTAAAGTGAAATCATCACTTTTTTGTTTTGCTAAAAATGTTTGGTGAAATGGAAAATGTATTTCTGATAGTTCAGTTGCAGTGTATAAACGAGGAAAGTAGTAGTAGGTAGTGTGTTGTACTGGTATCATGCGGATTTTTGAGACTTTTGAGAATTCTTTTTCTATTTGATCTTGTCCAGTTTGCCAACCCAGACTTCACCCAGCCGATCTCGGAGGTGGTGGACGAAGTTATCCAGAACTGTCCCATTGACGTCAGACGCCCACTGTACAAGGTGCGGAAACGCATGCCTCCGCAGCTGCTCCAATTACTGTCACTGTTAGTGTCTGTGCCTGTTTATGTCAATGTCTAACCTCCTCCTGTCGCAGAACATCGTGCTCTCCGGAGGCTCCACTATGTTCAGGGACTTTGGCAGACGCATGCAGAGGGACCTCAAGCGGACTGTGGACGCACGACTGAAGATGAGCGAAGAGCTGAGTGGCGGCAAACTGAAGGTGAGGAAATGGAGGGAGGACGATGATGAATCCACCAACTGTACTTTTGAAGTCGACCTTCTTGGAAAGTTTGTGAATTGAAAATGTTCACGAACCCTGCATGTTGCAGCCTGTACAAGACAGGAAGTGGTTTTGTTTACTACTGATGAAATTAACTTCTTTTGTTGTAGCCCAAGCCCATCGACGTGCAAGTCATCACTCACCACATGCAGAGGTACGCTGTGTGGTTTGGAGGATCAATGCTGGCATCTACTGTGAGTATTAACAACGGAGCTCTCAGCATCTCTAACAACACACAATCATCTCTCTGCAGCTTTTTACAAACATTTTTGACACCAGCAAATAATTGAAAATTCTGAATGTTCTTTTATTGAGAGTTTTCACTTCACTAAACACAGTACACACTAACTATGACATGTAAGGGGGATGAATGACTTTTAACCAGGACTATTTGTGTTTTGGCAGCCTGAGTTTTACCAGGTGTGCCACACCAAGAAAGACTACGAGGAGATTGGGCCGAGCATCTGCCGCCACAACCCCGTATTCGGAGTCATGTCTTAGGCGTAGGGTGGGGTGTGGAGGGAGCGGAGGCTGAGGAAAGAGGAGGAAGCGCCACAAGACCTCACATGCTGTAAAAGTCCCATGAGCCTTTGCGCGGATGCTCCGACAAACCTGTTCATTCGGATGGAAAGCGACAGTGGACCAAACAAACTGCCGAAAGAGTGGCAATATCCTCACAAATTAGAGGAAAGAGGTGACTCAGCCCAAAGGATCCTCAAATAAAATGTTTACTGCAAGTAGATTAATAATAGGTGATAAATCTTTCATTTCTGCGTGCCTCGTATATTATGTACTTATATCCTCACAGGGTCGTAATATGTAATTAATCAACATGAGTCCTGTATAAATGCACTTGTCTGTGTATATGGGTTGGGTTCTTGCGATGGTATATAAAATAATGGTTGTTTCAAGAAGCAAGACGTCATTTTCCACAAGCCTCATTGAATAAAACACCTTTATGGTCATTAAAGGACCAGTTTGTAAGATTTAGGAGGATACTGGCAGAAATATAACATCGATAAATATGTTTTCATTAGTGTATAATTGCCTTAAAATAAGAATAGTTTTCGTTACATTACAATGGGCCCTTTATATCTGAAGAGGGAGCTGGTCCTCTTCCACGTAGTCCGCCATGTTGTACTACCGTGTTTCTACAGTGGCCCAGAATGGACAAAAGAAACACTGGCTCTAGAGAGTGTCGTTTTGAGTTAAGCTGCCAAATGCTGGAAAAGGGAAGAACCAAAGGTTATAAGTTGGGTGCAAATTTGCAACTTTGCCACTAGATGCCACTAAATCCTACACACTGGTCCTTTAAGTCATCAAACAGGTGCAGGCATGGACATTGTTAGAAGAAAAAAAACAATCACCAGGCGTACTGACCATTCCTGATTTACTTTTCTCGTTTGCGTCTCTTTTTTTGAAATGTCCCTCAGTACCTGGAAGCAATATACATTTGAATTTAGATTGTTAACATTAAAAGTCAGGCATTTACAAAAAATCTGTTATAATCATTTTTCCCAGGGTTCACTAAGTCCTGTCTTCTTTTGTCCTGCAGCTTTGTGACTAATCGTCACTGCTTTCTTTTCACCTTTTATGTGTATTAATCATCTCTTGTCTTCAACTTGTCTTTAAAAAAAATCATATTAATATATGAACATGCAGTTTGAATGACTGTTGTTGGACCATCACTGTTGCCTAGATCTCAGTTATACTGGATAGCCTTGTACTGTACCAAATCTGGATTTCAATGCTGGCATTCCAATAAATGCCAAGGAGATATTTCTACTGTTGTGATTTCTGTTTCTCAAGTTGTGCTCTCAAGAATAACATGATTATCTTATCTCTCTGGCTTCTATTCTCAACGTAACACAGCTATTTTTGTGTGAGTGAAAAAAACCCTGTAACTGTATCCCCTGAAACTCACCAACACATGATGCAAGAGTTTATTTTCATTGAAGCACTTCATGCACCTCATTGGTCAGTAAGGCAAGTGAAGTGCAGTCCAGAGGCTTGTGTTTGTCATGGTGGTCACTTATTTCTTGCAGCAGAAGAGTAATGGACACATGGATGTACAGTTCAACCAAATAGTAAATAATAATTCTAATCATTTAACATGAAATGCTGTAGAGAGCAAAGAGAGCAAAATGGCTGAAGAAAAGGGGAAGTGCAGATTTGCAGCTACAGCAAACAGTCTGGATAGAAAGACAAACGGACTGAGACATGTCTGCTGCTGAGAGGCTGAAGGTGCTACTCTTCTTAGCTTTGTTTTTCGGAGCAACGGGGTTTCTGTTCACACTGCTCTCCTGTGGGACGGAGTACTGGCTGCTGGCTGCTGAGTCCTGCAGCCAGCCAGGGGACAGCTATGGAGGAAGTAGCCTGAGCGAAAGGAAGGGCAGCACCAAGGTATTCAAACTGAGCACTTCTGACAAGTTCATTTGTAAAGATAATTTCAAAGAGGATATTCAATGAAATGCATCAGAATAATTAGGAAAATAAAATCAATAACCGTAAAAGGAAATAAAAATACATTAAACTAAGAATACAGTGTTATTGTCACAGTAAAGCAAAAATAGATTTCAGGAATTAAGTGATATGAGAAAAAGTAATGCTTCAAGGGTAAGGTATTTTTTGTGGTTATATTTATTTAAAAAATCCAGAAATAATATTTTTCCATTCCATTTTCTGCTACTCTATACTCAAATATATAATATTGTACTGTTTACTGCACTACATTTATTTAATAACAAAAGCTACCCAGTTTTATAAAAACTAATTTAAATCGGCTCCACCTTCGCCAGCTGCAACATTAAAGTGATGAACACACAAATGCATCACTTATTAGAATCTAATAAAATATAGTACTATTCCTCACACACTTGTAATCATCCTACACAACTGTTTCAGTTCATGATTGTGTTTCACTTGATGATCAGCACCTGTTTAGTATACTGTAATCATACACCTGACAACATGCTTACAAAATCCGTGAAGTGTACATAGAAGAATATATGCTGTTTAGAAGGATATGGGTGGTCACACCAAATCTAGATATGATTTAGATTTTTTTGTCTTTTCACTCAATTAAGTAAAAGATCTGAGTACTTCTTCCACCACTGCATATGTCTTGTTCATTATATGTGCATGTTTTGATAATTGTTCCATGTAGCATAGAGTTAGCGTATTTTTTGAAAGACATTCACTTTTGAAACGTATGCTCATCCACATCACTGACAGACTCTTGCCTGTTCACTGCAACCAAGTAAAATCTTTTCACGGAATTTTTTTTTTACTTTATTCTTCAAAATCTTGGATTAAGATCAGCGATAAACTCCGTCAGCCCTTCTTTAGTTGTGCAGTTATTTGAGCACTCCTTAATACCTGTGTACTCTGTAGTTGTCCCCTATTGACTCTTATTTTATTGATGCACACAATATTTAATTTTCTGCTGGCTGCGGTTCACTGTTTTCACAATCATCAACCAAACACTGCCTATTTACAGACACACATTTTCGAAACCAAATACAGACCATTTAATGACTACAGTGACATATTTTTCAAATGTATTACATAGTTGGTTTTGTGATTTATCAGGCTATACATGGTGTGAAGATCTTCCATGAGGGTCTGTTTTGGCGGTGCTCTTTCCTGACTCTTTCAAATGAATACTCTATATGGGACCTGTGGATCTGTAAGAACCTTCCCATTACAGTTGTGTCAGACTTCTGTGTGTTTTTGCAAAACGACAGTATCATAGTGGCTTCCTTTCTTTCAGCAAACCAACCACCATCAAAGGTCTGCCAGGCCGCTTTCCTCTTCCCGTTTCCTGTTAATGAGCCAATTGGATCATGGGTGGAGCCACACGGTTTACCCACAGAACCGTATGAACACCACTCTGCCATTGGTTGGTATTATTCTTTCCTATAAATAACTTATTTTCACATTATGATCTTTTATGAGGCCTCATTTTCCCCATCTCTCAGTTTTTAGAACCTTCTGGAGCATCTTCCTCTTCTCAGGCTTGACGGGCGCCGTCATTGGTGGATTTGTTGTTATCTGTGCCGGCCCGCTGGCCAATCAAAAACTCTATAAAGTGGGTGGGGCCCTTCAACTTTGTGGAGGTGAGGACAGATCAGCAAAGAAAAAGTTTTAAGTCATTTCCTGGCTTCACCAGGAACACATCTTGGGTGAAGTCAGCTAAAATGGGCCTTCAGGTAAAATGGGCCAAATAAGGTTGGAGCTTTATAGCACTCACTCACAATCAGAAATACTGATCTTGAATTGTTGCTACAACACTAGTTTACATGTAAAAATAGTTTTGATTGGTCTGAGATTTCTATTGTGGGCAGGGCACACCCTACATGAAGTACATCAGAGAAATCCTTTGGAAAATGAGCTTGACATAGTAAATTTCACTCATCACTAAAGCAATTATAAGTAACCTTACCAACAAAGCAAAATGTTTATGAAAGATGTGTTGCATGCTCTTTCAAATACAAATAGTTAAAATTTGTAAAGAAACTTAGATTTATGTGAAAATAGTAATTTTAGATACTTTTTTAGCTTGCTAAACCAGCGAGCTAAAATGGGCCACGTGCACACACACACTTACTGAAAATGTATAAAGAAATTGAGCGTACAAAACAAGTTCATAGGTGAATACGTATCTATCCATGTAAAACCTAAAAAAAAAAATTAAGTTACTTTACACACAAAACCAGCACAAAGACACCACTATGCAAAAACGCACACACAACATTTTATTGCATGAAATGTTTTTAAGACGTTGTTACTTTGTCACACCTAAGACAATAATGTAAGTTTCCTGCACAAATTTTAATGATTTCAGCTAAAATGACTGTGTTGTTCTCTCTTTACATTAACCTAAACAGCTGGCCCAATTTACCTGAGATCATGTAAAATAGGCCAGAGGCAACATGCTGATACTCAAATTCTTATAATTACAAAACAATTATACTTTTTAATAAATATATATATTTTTTTACAAATAAATGTTTAAGAGACCCATGCCAATTTATTAAAACATCATTAGATCTCATCTCATGCATTGCTAATTAGATGGTCTTTTTAGTCATTTACCAAAAAGTGAGTCATTTTAGCTGACGTCACCCTATATTTAATTATTATATGTTTTTCTTTGCACACATCAAACTCTAACACATCATAGCATATTATAGAAACACTCAAAGTTAGGCTATATGTTTGAGCATGTCCCTTTCTACCTTTCAAAACAAGATACAATATTTCATGCTATAATAAAACATAATTACACACTTACATGCAAAAGATTTATATTGAATAAGGCTCAGCTTGAAGTTCATTTGACAGAACTTTGGTTTGCTGTTGAGTAGAATCCTCTTTGTGTACAGAAAAACATTATACCGTATATTAGAATTTTTCATTGTGTTTATAAATTACATGTGCCATTTTTTACTTTTGTACTTGTATAAGAATCACGAATTGGACCTGAAACTACCCTGAACCAAAGCCCCATTTGCTTTTGAGGTAAATTTATGAGACGGTTATTGATGAAGTCTCAGGATCTATGAGCAGGCAGAGACCCACAATGGATGGACTGAAAACCCTTTTAGTTCAAGTTCAACTTGAATTTCATTGTGCAGCCCCGTGTTTTAGAATGACAAATTAATAAACGTACATTGAAGTGCTGTATCCATGAATTTCTCATAAAGGTCTACAAAGGCCACCGTCCTTGCTGATTAAATTTATTTGGACACAGAGAATCACCGTTACATAGAAGTCAGCCAGTTCAGAAAATGTTTTATCTGAGTGTGAGATCAGAAGTGACATTCATGGAAAATTTCATCTGTACACAAATAAAACTTTAGTGCAGTAATGCAAAAGTGGAGAGTCTCTTCCAGTCTGGACGCAGCTGGGGGTCAGTTGACTACACCTCCTTGTTATTGATATGTCTTGGTTTAAAAAAATCAGTAGGGTTAGAAGATGAAATGAAGTGTTGCCTGCATTTGTGGCTACACATGCTGCTGCTGAAAAACATAATAATAACACAATAATGCATGCTATGTAGTAATAATGGAAATGAGGTGTCCAGCTATGAAACACATGCCTGATGGGTTTCTGCAGCAGAGTTTAAAGGGCTTCAGATTACCATCATACTTTCTGAACCCCAAAATATTTGTTTATTCAAATAAAACCACATTTTGGACATTGTAATCTTTAGATCGTCCAAAGTGGCTTCTTTAACCCCTTAACTTCCAGTTTTCCACTAATATTTCCTCTTAAGTTGCTTTCATCATATTTCACTGTCTGAAGGTATCATGTTTTGCAGTCAGCTTGTTGCAACTCCTCACTGAAGCTTATCAAGCTGCTTGAAATATTTCGACTCAAGACTCTAATTCTTTTTCGTATTTTGAATGGCTGCACGATTTAGATGTCATTTGTGTAGCAGTCCTTCTTATGTGTTTGTTGCTATTTATATAATTTTTTCCCCCCATTAAGTCTGGCTCAGTCTCAACATTACCCTGGGTTGATTAGAGGATTATTCGGAGCACGGTGCTCTGACTCCTCAGCAGTGATAGAGAACAGCATGGGGATTGCCTCCTGGCCAATCAAGGTGTGACAACTCCGATTGTCTCCAATGAAGGCATAATGCTGCGTTCTAGGCAACTCGGAACTGGGAAATTTCCAACCTCCCACTAGAAAAACTATCCTGGAACGCCACCTGAAGTCAGACTTCCTACTTGTGAACTTGGAGAAAAAATATCTACCCCGACTTCAGGAGTAGCAGCTGAATTACGTCACAAAACAATGTCAGTGCCCATGGAAGCACACACTGTAAATGGTAAACCATAAACTAAAAGGCAACAAAAAGTATATTTGCATGTATTTAAATTAAAATAATACATACGATCATATAGTAAAACCTGTTCTGCATACATTGATGTAGAAATATGTTAGGTATATTAGGTAGCTGGCTACAGTAAAGAATCTCATAAAGTCATCTTCTCTGCATAAAGGTTATTGTTAAAAACATTAGGAAGTGTAATACTGACTTGAGGGTTACCAACTGATGTAGCTAGTAACATATAGGCTATTTATGTCAGTTGTTGCAGTTAAACTGCCATCCTTTTAATTAACACCTAAAACACTGCTGAGGGTGCAACTGTGTGTACACTTTGTCACAGTCAGCCATGGCTTTCGTTCACTTTCGGTGTCATGCACCATCATGCACCTGGAACGCTTTGATATCGGAAGTCAGAAGTTTCAACTGGGAAATATCCCAGTTCTGACCGATCTCGAATGCGGCATAAGAAGAGGTGCGAACTTGCACCCCCAGGCAGTCTGATGCATTCTGAACCTTCCTTTTTGTAGTGCAGACACACACACACACACACACACACACACACACACACACACACACACTTTCCCAGACATAGTCAGCTTGAAGCTCTGTCCTTTGAGACCTTCTTAGACCTCTTTGCTGTGTCTCTTGTCTACTATGAAAGTGATTGAGTTTCCTGGATCTTAGCACAGAGTGAATATAGAACCACTTAGTGCCTAAAAAAACCCTTCTACCCCATATCTTTTTTTTTTTACCTTTTTGTTGGCCATCGAAGAAGCATTGGTTTGTTTTTGAAGAGGCATTGTTTCATTAAAGAACTTGGGGATATTTAATGAAACAAAGGGGATATTTTTTATTTTATTATGTGGTTGGGAACTGTGTTTCAGGCACCTTTCCCCTGAGGCCTGTAGAATCAGTACCGCCACATGTTTGGTGGTTGTGTGTGTCCTATTTTTTTTTTAATTTTAGGTTAAAAAATGTAATTGTCTTCAGTAAAGTTTGAGACAGGGAGGGGGTTTCTTCTAGTGCCCTTGTTGAAGCTCTTGGCTGAACCTCCCCCCCCGAGGTTTCCTTTCACCAGTAATTTGGTGCTTGGGGAAGGTGGGAAGATTTCCCAGAATTCATTTTCCATATTGTAGAGATAATTTTCAACAAGTTACAACAAAGTTGACAGTAATCTTGAATCTGACCTCGAAACATTGCTAACCCATCACCCATTATCAATATCTTCAGTCACAACAGATCCAGGCGCATCTGCTGCGTCATGTCTGCCAAACCAAAGCGATTGCTGTCTCTGACCATAAATCAAATGTCTTGCTTAACATCCACACAAAGAGCACATTGTGTGTGAGCCAACATTTGCCTCCAATTATTGTCTTTGTGAGGGAGGTTGCAAAATAAGCCCAGAAAGATTAGTTCAAGGTCCACGTGTAAGTTTTCAAGACTGCTCGAGCAAAATTGTGACATCAATTTCACATAATTAAAAGTTTTTTTAAGGTACAATCTTTCATTTACATCTGATGCACAGATAATAAAAAACTGAAGACTGACACACAGCCACTATAAAACAAATGAGAAGTTTTGTGCTCTGGGAATGAATGAAAGGCTCTGAGCAAAGAAAACATTACCTGCTGTGTAACTGTCTCCGGCTCTGCAGGTTTTGTGCTGTCCTGCAGAGTAAGGACAAAGGAGCAATAAAATGACAGTGATAAAGTAAGACAAACAAAATACAACTACATAATACACTATATGAATAAACACATTCTTATTAAAATTCAACCAATTTAATAATAATCTGGATCAAGCCACCAAGTTCTTAAAGAACTCCAGCACAGAGAGAGGAACAGAGAAATAAACACATATAAACGCAGCAGTTTGGCAGTTCTGGACGCAGAATGGGCCACATCAGGTCCGGATTCTGCAGACAGAGAAACACACATGAGCATATCGCTCTCAAACACTGCAGGTTGTTCACCAGTCACGAGCTGTGAAACAACAGCACGGCTCTGTTGGTAAATAAAAAGGAAAAGTTATGTTGCGTTCTCTGGCGGACCTGGATCAGCTGTTAGCTGTTTACAGGGCTAACGCTAACGTTGCTACGTGGCTGTGTTTTAATGTTTTAATGACTGAGTCCGTTTGTTTTGGAGAGGAGACGACCTCTGAGTTAATTCGGCTCCAGGTAGAACCCTGTCAGGGCTCTGAAGTGGAGCGGACCCACAACAACTCTCATCAGCTGTTAGCTGTAATGTTAAACACTAGCAGGACTGAAGTTACTGCGGCTGTAATAACGTTATGCTTTATTAAATGTCACAAAATAGATATTAGATATAATGTCAGTCCAGTGACTGTTACCTGACAGCCGACCTACCTCTCATTCTCTGGCGCTGGCAGTCACTCAGCCTGCCGAGTGAACAAAAGACTGAGGAGGACCCATGTGAGCGGTGAACGAGTCGTTCATTCCTGCTCCACAGTAGCTGTCACGTGACAAATGAACGACTCAGACCTAGAGACCCACAATTGAGTCGTGAACTAATCAATTCTGTTTCCTGTGCTGCCTGCTTACCCCAGCCCTGTAGCTGAGCTGTCACGTGACAAATGAACGACTCAAACAGACCCACAGTTGAGAGTCGTGAACTAATCAATTCTGTTTCCTGTGCTGACGGAGCCCATGCAGCTGCCGTGTGACGAGTGAACGTAAGAGTCCAAGATCCTTCACACATGCGTGAACATGAACAAATCACTCCGTCTGGCTGGTATTACGTAGAATGGAGCCGAAAAAGCAGTTGAAAACAGAGCATTCAGAACAGGAGGACACCTGAGGTTTTTGCTCATAGTGATTTCTTATAAATGATTTAACCTAATTTTTTAAACTTTGGCCATGTTTAACATGACATCCAATATTATAACATTGTAGATAAGTCATAAAATGTGGAAAAGCATAATAGGTCTCCTTTAAAGGGGCATTATGTAGTTTTCAGCGGCCATTAGTGGTGCGGTTTTAAGATTGACACCAGGTGTGTGCTCGTACACGTGCTCGCTTGAACTTATGAGCGAGCAGAACCCGAAACACAACTGCTTTCATACAGAAATACCACAATAAACGCAGGAACACCAGCACGCAGGCTGTGGCTTTTCACTCAGACATGTTCAGGCTCTGTTACTTTCCCGTCCCGTCTCAGAGGCAGATCAACACCAGCTCCGTAACGTTACTTCATTCAGCGCAGCCAGCCGCATATCGGCACAATACTCCCTAAAAAAGTGAAAAGAGTGACAGCGGCTATAGGCAGGCAGGGAGAACAGACAGAGCTGGAAACTCAGGTAAACTCCCACTGCAACGCTACAGTAATAGTTTTATCAGCTGCAGGTTGAACTAATCCGTGCTCGTTACATGATCACGGTACATTTTCTGCATTTAGCCGACGTGACATGCTACTTCAGTAACTATCTTTATTATCTGTGTATCTTTCAGCAATGTCAGCACAGCTACATGTATTGGATGATAGTGAAACGGTTAGTGAGATGGACTGGATAATAAGACTAGATGGTGTCACTCTTTATGACAGTTAACGTTAGACCGCAGTAAGTAACTTTACTGTAACTAGTGATAGTGGATGGCTCTTCCTCTGGGTTGTTGTGGCCGTTTTGTTGCAGTGTTTTATGTTATGTGGGTCACGTTAGTTACAGCGACTGAGGTGGAGAAGCTGTGTACCGAGTAACGTTTTGGTAAAACCCATAGACTGTATATAAAAACCACAATTAACCTAAACTTAACGTTATGAAGCAGGTCTGAGCTAATGTAGCGTTAGCTGGCTGCTCCTGGCTGCATCACTGTAGGCTAACATTAGTAAACAAATCGATCCACATTTGCTTTTTACAGTTACATCCTTTCTTGCAGGCTAAATCCACTGTTGATTTACACAGGATAGTAACATAGGTCGCGTTAGTTGGTGAAGTAACATAGAAAGCTAACGTTATATAACTTTGCACCGGATAACATTAGCAACTGCTCGGCGTTAGCCTGCGAGCTAACGTGACTTTCTCTGTGTTTCTCCAGCTTTACTAATGCTCACTTTGTTCTTACTCGACATCATCTGAACCTGTTTGGGCTTCAGCACATAAACCTTTATTGTTGTTTTGTATCCTTACGTGGAGCCTGTGTTTTGCTGGGAGCCAGTTGTTTTAGGGTGTTAGTGGACTGCATGTCGTTAGCTGCCGTGTTGTTGCTGTAGTCTGAGAGAGGCTCGGGAGCGCGCATGGAGCTGAATCCGACCCGGACACTTCACATTAAAAGCAGAATAGTGGCTGATGCAAGCAACGGAGAAAACAGGCGTGTGCTTCATTTCTAAGTGAGTTTTGAGCCCATTGACAATAAGGCAATGAAAATTTGATTAATTTCATTGAAATACTTACATATAGTCCCTTTAACTATTTTAAGGGACTACATCCATTTTTGGGTGATTGGTAAGCAATATCTCACAAATGAACACTGTATATCTGCTAACACTTCAACATATAGTATAAATATTTATAAAGTTTGTTCTGTGGCTAGTAAAAGAAGAAAAATGTTTTCACATGGGACACACACACACACACCAATTTATTGCATAAATTGTAACATTTCCACATACATGTGACTCTGAGCCAAGTTTTGCAAACATTTTGCATTGGAATGATGTAACAATTTGCAATAACGGAAACTGCCTTTCTCAGGTCTGTGCCTGCTTGCTGTGGTGGTGATGTATCTGATGTGGGTCGAGGTCCTGGACACTTTGGAGCAGTTTGCCCGGCATCAGAGAATCTCCAGTTGCCCCTCTTTCCACCTCAGCATCCAGCACGGTCCTTCGTTCCTCCTGGCTCCCGTCGCTGTCTTCTTCTGCTTGCTGGCTGGCCTCCTCTTCATCCTGGTTGGTCGGAGTATTCAGGGGATACGGCTGCATAAAAGAAACAAGATTCCTGATTCTTCCAGAATCTGATGTTTAGCTGTCATTCCCTCTTACATATAGTTTATTGAAATGTACCGCTTCACCAAGGATGAGCATCTTGTATTGAAAATTGCAATGAAGTCATACTCCAGACAATGGCCACAGACTGTTGGTATTCTAAGGTTGGGATGCATTACAACTGCGTTGGCCTGGGGTACTGGCTCCAGTCTGGCCTCCACAAGGCACTGAAGTGGACTTTTGTTATGCTCATAGGCTTCTTAGAGTTTTCTTCTAACAACCTTATGGAGCAATAAATATGATGAAATAATGACCCTCCCTGTAGTGCCACCAGCAGGACATCTGCTCTACATATAATGCTCTTGGTTAGAGTGCATTTGAAATGTATTTGTGAGAAATCAATGAGAAACTATAAGTTTATATAGGTCTTGTTTTGACAGTTCAGAGTTGACACTTGAATTTCATCACTGAGACAAATTTCTTTATCCTCGTTAATAAGCCAATCAAGTTTTAGTCATCTCAGGAGCTGATTATTTCCGACAAAGAAATATTCAGCTTAAGAATTTCTTGTGTGCACGTGCAGGTGGGGGTGGAAAGTAAATAACTTTTTTTGTACATATACTCAAATAACTAAAGGCCCTGCACTTCCACACAGGTGATTTCAATTATTCTGCCTAATTACAGAACTCTAGTTGAGTTGTGACTGGGGAGTGCCGTGATGGGAATTACATCAAACTAAATGTACCAATAAACAGTCTAAAAGGTGCACGTTGTCCTAACCCGAGGTTTAAGCAGGCAACATAGGTGAAAACACCTGTGTGGGTATACCTTGTTTGTGGGGAGGTACTTTTTATGCAACTTTATAATCATCTAAATCACTACATTTCAGTGGGAAACACTGTACTTTTTACTTCACCACATTTAACAGTTTAAATGATACATTGTTATAATCAATCAAAAGTTGGTAAGACTAGAGCCTACCTCAACCTTTAAATTTGGCTTTAACAGTAATGCATTAGTAAAAATTATCCAATAAAATAATAAAGACTCTTGGCAGGAGCCATACTTGAATTATTTTGCACTTTAACACTTTTACTTCATGATATAGAATATATGACCTTGCTTGTTAAGGAGTATTTTTACACTGTTGAGTTACTTCTACTTGAACTGGATATTTCCAGCCCTGGCATAGAGTAGTACTCTGCACCACATGCATATAAATGTCAATGTTGTTACTCTTGTGCTGACATAATACCAGTTTTAAGGAAGATTTTTTTTACAGAAACCTTGTCAGGAACCTCTTTTATAGGTATATATATAAAAATGTACTGAAAATAAGAACCCATACACAGTAAATAGACAAACATCTGGGTAGGAATGCACAGAAAGATGATTGACAGGTGGTCACTCAAACCTCTCAAAATCACAGATGTGGATCTTTCCAATTACTTCCATCCGGGAGGATAATTGGAATCCTTAATTTGAAGATGGTCATTATAAATGATTTTTCCTAATCGATTTAACAGATCCCATTGTGATTAATACTCCAATACTCCCGCTCTGCTTTTATCATAATTGATAAATCAATTTTGACAAAAGTGGAGAGAAGAGGCCTGCCTGGCTGCTGGTGTATATGTTGAAGGATTGAGTAGATTGAGTGTGAGCGGGCCTTCCTGTCAGTAGGACATCAGGTTAAAGCTCTGAAATATTGGGTCAGAGGGATGAAGATGATAATAAATTAGACTGTCATAATCCATTTTCTGACATGAGGGACATCTTGCATTGTGTGTAACACACACAACAGCCACTAGAGGACAGTGTTGTCCCAGGATAATGTTTGGAGGCGTTTTCTACCCTCATTAAATCACTTTACCCAAAGTCCTTACAATGATGTCCAACAACAAAAGTTGCAGTGTTCGCATCAGATTAGGCCTACAGAGATAGAACCAGGAGAGAAATTTGTAAGTGATAATTAATTCAACTCCTGTAATTTTCCTGACAAACACAAGAAAATTATTTTTTCCCTTCAAGTTCAGTATAGTTAACATTATATTGGAGGGAGGAGGGGATCATGGAAGCCCACAGTCACACCTTGATAATTGGAAAAGGCAAACAGAAGTGAGACCTTGCAATGAGAGTGACAAAAGGGAACGAAAGGGAGGGGAAAGTGGGGGAGGACTGGGAGAAAGAGAGAGTTGACACTGCTCATCAGCAAGTCTTTCAATATTCTTTCATGTCTGACGCTCCTGTGCCTCTCCATCCCTTCTCTTCTTAATCTCCGCTGTGAACTAGGTGAGTATAATTACACCTGAGCATGTCACATTCACTTCCCCGGCCCTCACCGTGTTCAAACATCTGTCACCCTCTCTCCCTTGTCACACCGCCGCCAACAGCTAACAGCCAACAGCCAACAGCCAACAGCCAACGCAGTCATGGGTTTAAAGGTTGATCTTTAATTTTCTAATTAATGCGAGGAGATCCAGTCATATCACTTGGTTTCAATCTTTGAAAGCAAGAGTGTGGCAGATTCATTACTTGGGTCCAGGAGTGGATGCGGTGCTGTTGTAGCTGTCAACCTTGGACTCACACACACTTACATATATACCCACTCCACCACCACTTGTTCTTTACATCACATCATCACACTGGGTCTTTGTCCTCAGTAAATAGAAATGTCCACAGCAATTACTATAGAGGCAACAGAGACATCCCAACTCATCTCTTTTATGCTTTAAGAGACATTTTGCTGTAAAGTTTAATTGAAATTCTTACTTGTGAGTTTTGTTTGTAGTTTTTTTTTTCCAATTTATGAAGAGACAGATTTTTATAAAACCTCATTTTGTTCAGGTCTGCCAAGCTTTGAGTTTCTACTCATGCATGGGGCTGAAGTAAGAGTGATACTCAGCATTTAAAGAGTTTACAGTGTTTTTCCATAGCTATTCCAAAGCCAAAAACACAAGAGCAAAAGTGTAAGGATTTAGCAGTGTGTTTATTTGCTCTATGCTGCAATTAGCATGTAGAGCTAGCTTACTGCTGCAGTAGTAACAACTGCCAAGAAGACCGAGAGTTAGCATGTCATTAACTAACTAGTTTGTCGGGTTATGGGTTACATTTAAAAAAAAAATATATATATATGCTTAAAATATCAGGACTAACTACCTCTACAGTGCAATACAAGAATAATGTCATTTAGATGGATTATCAACTGGTTATGCTGATTTTCGCCTGGGACATGTAGCCTCCATCTTTTAGCATGATGTTGCCATTATGTACATATTTAGCACCCCTGCAGCTACAGCTGGTACAATCTGCTAGCAACAATTGTTGTTTCTGCTTTTGTCTACCTCTGAAATCAAGAAGAAGAAGAACCCAATATTTGAAATGATTAAGAATTTCAATAACCTGCCACTGTTATCATTGAACCCTGCCTGCATGCCATTTTAATATTAGCCTGATCTTTTTAGTGTTTTGAGCCATTTCATTAAAAAAATGTTAAAGGTCCTATCATCTGGATTTTTCTGCAGTGCTGAACTTCTGTCTCCCCTTTCTGACAGTGAAACTAATTAATAAAATTGATTTTTATGTATATAGTGCCAAATCATAGATGTTATCTCACTGCACTTTTACTTTAATATTACAGAGACTGTACTCTCTGTAATATTATTTACAGAGACCCTACAATTCCCACCATGGGCAAGCACTTGGCAACAGTGGCAAGGAAAAACTACCTTTTAGCAATAATACTAGCAAATACTGGGAAAGGTATGCAAACAAATTATATTGTAACTACACTATAACAACTTTACTATCTAATATTCCTTGTTGCCAAACCCAGTCAGAAAGTACATTGAATTAGATATGCAAAATACAGATTTAACTGCCCGTGATAGGCTTAATCTGTATGAACTCATTCGGGAAGGGCTTGAATGTAACAAACGTTCTTTTACATGTCTTTGAAGTGTCGCACTGCATCTTTAACAATGGCTTAAACGAATATGTTAAAAAAGTTGATCGTAGTGACAAACCCACAGATATCACCGAATAACAGACTAGTAGCTAGTGCCTAGCTGGTGAAGTACGGATGTACTTCCTGTATAAACCACTTCCACTTCCGATCTTCTATCCGAGTACAGATACAGAGATAGGCAATGCTGTCTCTACACACCTCTAGAAGTTGGTGGAGAGCAAAACAGAGTTGACAGGAGAATAAATATAATTTCTTCTTCTAATTAAAGATTGTTAGCATTTGGAGAATGATTTCTAAACATGCCTAGGTTGCAGCTTCAATGCTCTAAGCAATACTACTGCTGTAATGCTATTGATGTTGTTTGCATGTAACCATAAAGAGCATAAAGGCAGGCTCAGGTGTTCACATGTCACATGTAATGTCTCTGAAACAAGCACACAATGTAGTATAAACCATAAATTATGGTGTATAAGAATGTTTCTACTTTCATAATCTAAAAACAAACACAACAAGCAGCCACTAAAAGCTGGACACAGCCTTTACTGTGATCCCACCACCTGCCCTGAACCTTCCCCTGTTCACTCTCCATGTTGGTACACTCTGCTCTACCTCCACATTACCCAGAGGCCAACCCAGGGGGTGCAATTATTCAGGCCTTTGCTCAGCCAAGTAGAAGAAATTAGCCTCTTCTCCTGAACCAAGACCTTCTAACCTGCACCAGGACCCCGGGCTGCCTCTCTGACTGGAATGACCCCCTGTGACTTCCCTCTCCAGACCTTGTTTTCCATACATATGAGCCTGAGCTGGCCAGAGCCACGCTTGGCTGCCATATGGGCTCTCCTTGTCCCGGCTGGCAAAGTGGAGCTGGGGAGCTGCAGGCTATAAAATATATAAAAAACACCCCCACACCTCCACTACCGCCCTGCACCACTCCTGGAAGGATGCTGGTATCCTCGGGCCAACGATGCGCTTTTACAACAATTCAACGCCCAACGAAAAGCCCAAGAGGGCGAGCAGCCGGGCTGAGATGTGTCATTCTTTGTGGTCTTAAAAGCTGTTCTTACAAAAGCAATATGAAAAGTTTAATTTAGGAACAAGACTAGAAGTTGTGTATATTGTCTATATTTCAAAGTTTTCATAATACTGCAGGTCAGTAACTAAACGAGCAATGGAAAGTTATAAAATCAATGATGTCGATGTCACGTTCTCAGGGTATAAGGGCAAAGAATAAGAGCTTCTCTCCCTCCTTTTATTCTTCACTCAGTATTCTCTGTAATTTGTCCTATTCTTTTCTCCATTAAAATAATTTTGAGTCACAGGTGATTCCATTTACCACGTCTGTGCTGACAGGTCCTCCTCTCTTGCCTTTTCTTTCCCCTCTCCTCCTCCTGTCTGTCTTTTCCCACCTTCCATTTCATCTATTCAAGCCAGTCAGAGGTGGATAATGAGATATGTGGCCTTGCACTGTGCTCCCTGACTCTCAGAGTACAGTAAGGTTTGATAATTGCCAAGCATTTGCAGTTGCACTGCAAAATCTTCCTGCAGCCGTGGCTGCTGTTATAGGGGGAAAGTACAACAGTGTTTAAGTAAATTGAACTGTTCAGCAACGTATTGTTTAGCTCCTGACTCTTTGGTGTCTAGAGGTATACCATGAAGTCAGTTGGCATTCACCAGCCCAGCGTCCCTAGTAGTTAATACCATATTATTATTATTATATATTATTAGATGAATCTGCACGTCATGATTACCATCCAGTGCCACTGCTGGAAGTAACAAGTCCTTTATATAGCAAGGGGGCTAATAAGGGAGGTTCAGGCGATGGATGGTGTATAGCACATCTGGCTTTCATGCAGGAGACCAGAGTTTGTGTCCTTCACCATAGGTGTCATTTACACTGGGGACGCTGGGGACTTTTTGAAAGCATTTGTTAAAAATGTTCTGGAAAATGGCTTCCTCCAAGAAATGTTAACTGACAAATGAAAGTGCTATAAGCACAATAAGAAAACATGCAATGCAATGTAAATATAGAAGGAACAGATCTGCATCGTCCAAAAAATGTAACTTAAGCTAAAAAAAGAATTTACTGATTTCT